CGAATTCAGCAGAAATCATCCAAATTAGACGAAAAAATAACCACTGCAAATAAAACGTTATAAAGGAACAAAATCCCTCCCAAAGGTCAAAAAACTACAAGAATTTTTTCTTGTAAAAAAAATAATTTTGCTAATAACATTCTCGCAATCGACAAATCCACATAGAAGCGGAGATCCTACTGCACACTGATCACAATTCAGCTGACATTATTATTGCGAATGACCAACAGATAACCATGAAGATGCACTATGTTTAGAAGAACACGTCAGGAGACGAAGACAAACATCATAACCTTCAGTATGAGATTGTAATTTTCGCTGATATATACAAAAATTTTAAGCTTTTGCTTGTGATAAATGCTGTATTTCATACAACAACGAACTAATTACAATCAAAAGGAAAAGCCGATAGAAATTCTAACTCACTGAGATGAAATGTCTGGTTTATGAATTTCATAGATGTACTTCGCTTCAAAAAAAATCCGTAGATATAACCTTATACATTTTAAGATGAAGCAATTTAGAATTTTTAGTTCATGAAAACACTCTTTCGTAGATCAAAATAACAGAAAAATTATTGTTTATTCGATAAATTTTAAATAATTGAAATGATGTTCAAGTTTTATCTAACTGATATTAGTGATTAACCAGCAAAAGTCTTCAACTTCTTCGATATAGATCAGAGTAGATTTAAAAGTACTACAAAAGAAAAGATCCCCTGCTATGTTAATTTTTTTGCAACTTTCATTAATATAAATCTTTATTCCTCATATTTTGCTACCAAATTATCAAAAATTGAAGTAGTTTCAACAATCAATGAACACAAAGATTTCTCAAAGAAATGCAAAATTATTTTCAATAACACAAATGGCTGCCAAAAATAGTTACTGATCAAAAGAAGCCAACTGAAAACCATCGACTTGTGAATCTTTCCGTTGCCAGTTGCCCAAACCAATTTCATAAAGTCGCATATGGAATGTTTGCAATGCTTGCTGATAGACTCCTTCGTTTTGTTTTGCTTCCAGAAAATTCCAGAATGGTTTGCTCCCACTAGTGTTAACCATTGCCATAACTTGAGCCCAACTTTCAAACATTTCCGATTTGCACAGGCGTGATGGTGAACCGGTTACTGTTCGACCCGTGAATGGATCCAAACGTTCAATGCTTCCTTAAAAAATCTTTCTGATGACAATAAAGATAAACATGCTACTCATATTGAATATAATGTTTTTAAATGTGGAAGATTTCATATCTGTCAGCATTCTCATCAAAAGTTAAAGCAGAGAAGTTTGTCCACGAATTTGATACGTAAGATTTTGTATTTTTATAGCAAATACAAAATACTGTCAAATTAAGCTTACGAAAAAGATTTAAAATATGAGCTTATATTTTATTTGTAGTGCTCTTTTATTTAAAGTCAAAGAAAAAAAATGTGTAAATAACAATGAAAAGCATACGCAATAACATACCAATTCCAGAAACCCAATTATGATATATTTCATTATGACCCGCTAGACTTGTTTGACAAGATTTAACTTTCACTTCATTTTTGGGCATAACACCAAATCGAAGTAACACTGCTTGCATGACCGCTGCATCATTACACGGAGTTCCAATACAAAGATATTTTATGAAAATGGGTTCCAGAAGATGTGAGAGAAGGGCTCCTTGTAGCCCTGAAACTGACACCATTGAAGATACACGAGCAATTTCCATCTTATTATCATATACTACATCATTTTTTCTCCAGGTCTGAGAATTCAAAAAAAATCAAAATTACATTTTAGTAAAGAGTAAACTGCCTATCAAAGCATATAAATTTGGATTCTCTGATGAAAAAATTAGAAAGTAATATGAAAGGAATCTTGACTCACCAAGCCAATTCCATTTCAACATCTTATCTGCTAAGCTCATCACATAAACATGTCCGGAAGTTGCCAGCTCATGAAATGTCTGTCGGCTTTCCGGTGGGGTTTGCAACCCACCTCCTCCCATATAGCACGACAATTTTTGCACATCACCATTAGTGAGCAAATTTGGGGGGAATGATATGTAAAGAACAATTTCGTAGCCGCACTAAAAATAAATTCAAAACTAAAAAACATTACTGCAGCAAAAATGTTGATCTTATCCTCTATTATCACTATTAGTTCAAAGAAAAATAGAATGTTAAAAGATTTAAAGATGCATCCTGCTGCTCATTTTAACTTTTACATCAATAGAAAGTACAGAGAGTACTACATCTGGGCGATCCACAACATTCAAAACATTTTAAAAAATGCTTATAACAAGCGTATATATCTAAGAAAATAAACCTTGAGACGAAATTTATTTGACGCTGGACAACGCTCAACAACACTATTTTTTGTTTTGTGGTTCCTTATCTGACCGAATAAATATAAGAGTAGTGCACGACGAGCTAAGACAGTGCCTAAAAAAAAACTGGTGTCTTGATAATCAGAACTAGTCAACTTTACTGTAGGCATCAAGGAAAGTTAGTTATTTCTAGACAGATCTCTGAATTTATTTCAAAAATTATACTTTGCATATGAATGAGGACGTTGCCTTGTGCATTCCTCAAAACTTGGCCACCAATAACAGCATTACGTCCTGTCCCAAAAGCAACCAGCTGCTTTTCTTTATTCGGTGTGATTAAAACGAAACTGAAAATGATTTATTGAGTACAATTTCCTCTTATAGTTCACTGTACTCAAATTATTGCGGAAAATTATTCAAAATTATTTTCAAAACTGTCCAAGAACAAATCTAGAATAGTAAATAATGGATATACCCTGACACAAAGCTAGTTATAGGACAAGCTTGATGATGACATAATGTCTCATATTCTCTTCGAACAAAAGAGCATATATCAGAACAAAAATTCAGATCTTCATCGTTTTTCGACCCTTTCAATGATAGGATCTCAACTGCATTTTCAGCATATAAATTGAACTAAAATAAGTGGAATGATAACCAAAACATATCTAACAATTGAACAAGTTCTAGGTTAGAATAAAACACGTCAACTTTATTCATATAGATCAAGATTTGAATTCCATCTTTTATCTTATAATAATTTAGGAGTTCTTAAATGAAAAATAATTAAAACGATGAAATAGGAAAACCAATGATCAAGAACTTATAAAAAACTGCATTACTGATACTAAATTCAGCTGAAAAAAAAAGGCTGTTCATGGTTTTGGAACGCTAAATGGCTAGGATCCTCAAAATATGCAAACTCATAATTACAAAGAGATATTTAAAATTATTCGACAGGTCATTCTATTTTTCACTGAGCCATGGTCCACAGAAATATCACGTTACAGAAAAAGAAAAAACTATAAATGTATCCTCAATTTCTCAAACAGTGAATATGACGATGAACAAACCCTGAACAACTTCATTAAAGCTTGCTCAGCTGCAGCATTTTTGGCGGTTTTCTTGGATTGTCCAGTACCTTCAAATCTGTCAGTTCCATTTACTACTAAGATACATTTAAATAATGGTGGTTCTGTTGGTCCGTTGATATTTTTCGGTCCATCATAGACTATATCTGGTTTTTTTTTCCGCTGTAATAAATATGAATTTCAATTATGTAACACTTGCGATATTAAATATTTCAGTTCACAGTGCACCATGAAGAATATGCACTAATCCATTCACAAACAGATGCAGCGAAGTAGAACAGAACGAAACGAAACATAACCTGTTTACAAAGAAAGTTCTGGTTACAGTAACACCTCACTACAAGTCAAAAATACATACAAAGAAAAACTAATAATAAATAAACAGAAAATTTTACGTCTTGTTTCAGCATCAGCTGATGCAAAGCATATGGTGCAGAAAGAATCTCTGTAATTCGTTTTAATCTTTCATCTTCTAACGGCCAAGTTATTTCCAGCTCCTCTTTCAATACCTTTTCGCATGCAGAATCTTTAGCTTTTTGCTTTGTATCGTGAGCCGGACCAACAATAGTTTCTAAAAATCATTTTTATCTCAATACTTGAGACTTAATTCTATGAAAACTACTAAAACCTTTCATAATTACTTAAACTATGCAGACTGACATAATTTTTATATCTTCATCATCATAAAAAAGGCTATTATAAAGAATCCAAATACGTATAATGGCTGAAAGAGTGAGACAAATCTACGCGCGAACCAAAATACTCAACTTTGGTGTCTCCATTAACAGAACAATTCTTAGCTTACACACATTAATTGTCTAAAAATATTAAACTGCGAACTCCATTTTTCAATAAAGAGTATCGCTTTCATTACACAAAATAAAACATGTAATAACGACCTGTAGAAACCATGTTGCAATTTTTTCAATTTCAGATAAAATCATATAAAAACAATTTGGTGAGTACAAGTCGTCAGCACATGCTTACTATTATTGTCGAGCGTAATACGGCATAGGAATCGACTATTTCCTTGGACGGGTTTTCCGTCAACAGTGACCACATCCACTTCCATGGTTCGATCGTAGAAACTGAGCGCTTGTGTCAAAACCTCAACGCAAATATTACTATCACACAACATTTTCAAAAAAAGCGAATGCTTGTTTTCTAGCTCATTACAGTAGGTTTAAACACAAAATAGGATATTTTATTTCTCCCTTTTGACACTATGTCTTTGCAAAGCTAATAAACTTGGAACAAAAGGAAGCTTATGAATTGAAAGTGAAAGATGATTTTCTGGTCATGAATTACGAGCTGAGGAAGAACTAGTGCTGGTTTTAAAACTTAGAGTAAATTTTTTTATATAACTTATTACCCAAGCTGTCCTCTTTTTTTCCATTTATGCATAGGATAAGTAAAAATCTTTTAACGAATTTACTTTGGCAAAAATCTTTTCTTCGGTAAGCTGATATTTAATCCAATTTTTCTTGACTTAATATTTTTATGCTTAAAACAGAACTTCGATCAATTTAGCAAATAAAAAGTTTTAAGAATGTTTCGCAATGATTACTGGAACTAAAGTCAAATAATTAGATCGTAATTTATACTATAAAATTTTTTCGTATATGGAATGAGATAATCCATTCGCTTTTTTGTGCCGTTGTGAGATAATAATACAAAAACGCTAACGTAATAAAAGCACCTAACTACTTTAAAAACTGATACCTGCATTGGTTTTCCAGGTTTTAAATTCATGGTTCGACGTTCCACCGTTTTCAGTTCTTCTTGTGGTACGTCAAAAAGATCAACCAATGCCTATATGAAATAGACATTTGTTATAATATCACTGAATATAAAAAAGCCTTCCAACTGAGGAAGAATCAACACTGGTTTTGAAATTTAAAGTACTACCTTACATAAAACTCACTACTCAAGCCGTTTCCTCCTTTTCCACTATTGCAATGGAGAGTGGGAATCATTTAATATTAACATTAAGATATCAAAAAGGTCTTTCACTAGTAAAAATTTACTTAACAGTTTAATAAAGAAGGGCCAATTAAAAATTATATACCAACAAAATCAATGCATAATGTCACCAAAATGTCAATAAAAATATTTCATTCATTTAACACTGATAATTTGTTTGTAGTATTTTGGACCTGAACATTTGATAGAGATTTCAGTAATTGGTCTATATAAGGGGATAAAGCAATGCTTTCAGAAACTGTTAGAAAAATTCAATTACTGCAAGATAAGAAATTTATGCTCACTTTACGAATAACGGCATTTTTGGTCGGAGATTTTCCATAGCCTTCATAAGAGAAACTTTTTCGCTGATCAGGCAAAGACAATACGCACCTGAAATCTTTTTCAAATGGCTAAAAATTTCAGCAGTTATCAACCGATAGTATAGTATAGTGAAAAAACTTAACAAACTTTTCATTGAATGGCAAAACTATACCTGGCTGCACATTTTTGTGCGAACATCTTCACTCGAACAGACTCACATATACACACTTTTAGTGAATGAGATAAAATGAAAATTCTGTAATTTTCCACTACACTAACAAATTAAGACTAAATCCAAGCTATAAATTTATCACAAAACTGACTGATACAAAACAGTGATGCATTATGACGCTAAAACAATTCGCTTCATTCCCAATTACTAAAAAAAAATTATAAAATGGATAAAAGACTAGATGAATAAAGATGCAAACCTGAATTTTCTTGGAGTTTTGCAATCAGCCCCAGGAGTCAATTCAGTGAAAGTAAATTGTGGTGAAAACTTAACACCGCTCATTCGTTCCTTATCCTTAAAAATGGTACTTACCAAAAATAAGCCATGATGGAAGCTTACTAAATGTTAACAAGCTCCATCATACCTTATTTCAGATATTAATAATATATATTATAAAGACATACTCTACATAGTCGTGCAAAAAAGTCGTGAAGAGAATTGCAAGTGATATACTCTTTTCTTATGTTTTCCTGAAAATTTGTAAAATAAGACTAGTATTTTCAAATTACGTGACACAAACCAGCAGAATATTATTCCTAATAATACAATATACTTGAAGAAAATACAGAAAAAATTAAACCTAACATATCATGCTTGTAAGCTTATACATATACTAGAAGACCAGTTCATATTTTATACTGATCATGAGACTTTCATTGCTCGAAAACTCTCATATTATAGGGATCAACCTCTAGAAGGAATGAAAAATAGCATTAAATAGTAACAACTGTATCCATAATACAGAACTAACAATTAACCTGCATGTTTAAAAAAGTGTGCCTGTAAAAGAAGAATTTTTTAAGGAAATATGCATTTGGAACTCAATACTGTTACTAAATTTAGCATACTTTTAGAAAAGTCTAAAAAACAAGTTTTGGACTTGCATGGACTTGAATCTTAAGGTACTGAAACTATTCTAACAGTTATTTTATAAGGTCGATAACAAAATGCATTACTTTCCTTAAATTAATTAAATATCATTTTAATAAATAAAATATAAAAGTTCTACAGGAAGCAAATGCAGTGACTCAAAATACGCTGAATAAACATGATGATTTCTCATCGTCCTATAAAAGTTCATTTTTATGCTTATCAAATGAATAAATGAATTCTAATGAACTGTACTAAGTAAAACTTTTACGCTTTTATACATTCGAACACCTGAAATTGCACTTTATACGACAGATTTAAGTTAAAGAAACTTTTCTAATCAATCACAAAAAGTATAACACGGCATAATATTGTTAATATCAAAACAAATACAACTGTAAATAGTGGCTGCTTTACTGCGATCTTTAATTCTGACCCAAATTTTATCTTCTATTTGCATCTCCAAAGGAAATAAACAGTGATTTTAAGAAGTTATTCAACCATGAGACTTCTAAATTATGTATCAGATTTGATGAAGCATGCATATATGTAATTCAAGTATCTCACAAATATCACAACTATATACTTAATCATAAATATGATAAATCTGGATACCGCGTTAAAAAAATTTATTTTCTTCAAGCGTATAAATCACAGTTTACCTCCAACTTTTTTGTATGTTGAGTATAATTCACAGTCTTCTTCTCTTCTGATGTTGGATTATCTAATCTGATGTCAGGTCGTAATTGTTTTAAAGCTGATTCACATGCAAGCTGCAAATACTCTTAGTTAACATCAACATACATTTGATAGATGAAACATAAGCGTAAGATAAATGTATAAAAGTATTGATGCGTGATATAAAAATCCAGCAATGTAAAAACAGAGATTAAACAAATAAAAAATTAAAACTTGTTTTGCAGCTTTCTTATTTGAACCCTCTGCTGAGTATGTTTTTCCTCGTAATATAATGCTACATTCGAAACGTGGCAACTTGTTAACCATCATATGAAAATACGAAACTTATTATACAATATAATAAAAAGCATGTTTGTTTTTTTAAATTATCTATGACTCTAAAACCCAATCACGAAATGAGCAAATTGAGTTCCTGATCTCAACTGAAAACGCACCATGACGAAACAGATTCTACTATCAAGAGCATTAGTATTTATAAATACTAAAGTCTATAATCAAATCTCTTCAAATTTACTGAAACTTACTTTATTTCCTATCAAATAAGACATTCTTTATTTATGATAAAGAATTTTGAGATTTCAAAAGTCAGCATGCCCATATAGAATGATGGCATAAACATCAGTAATAACCATAACAAATTTACGCAGTCTTTCATTACTCAAAATCAATATATACCGTCTTGTAAGTACAATAGTCTTTGAAATCGGGGTACAATTCGTTTAGAATCATTGCTGCAGTCTTGCCAACTGTGTTGTAACGTTTTTGTCTTTTCTTTGGAGGAAATTCGTAATAATTCTAAACATTGTAGATATAATAAACAAGTGTGGTTTATTAAAATGCTTTATCAAGTAACTCTCAATTTAGTAATTATAACCAGTAATTTATAAATTCATGTTGGTTAACAATAAAAATGTGATCGATTCAAGTTTTCACACCAAAGTACTAAAAGCATTTACAACACTTTGCACTGCTTTTACTTCTGTTACGAACCCAATTTTACCTTTGCATACAGCGATTAAAATTATCATTATTAGATTGCAAATTAATTTTCTAAATAATATTAAAGATCGGAAACCACAGTAATTCACATTTTACAAAACTATTTTCACATTATTTTTAACTTCGAAAAAATATTCATACAAAATTCGGAGCTACTAATGGAATACATGACCAAAAATATTATGAAAAACTTTAAGTTTGGAGATTAAATCTGCTGAATTTAATGAAATATCATTATTATTCAGGCTAAATTATGGATCCTCTAATAATTTTATTGAACAATAAGCAAAAACCATAAAACATCATTATATGCAAGTATATGACACAAAAAATCACTAAAATCACAGAAATTTACTTTTATTTACTTCTTCAGCTACCACTGAATTTCATATTTATTTCGAGCACATGATATTACTATTTTCAGAAAACATTTTACTGCTCACAAACTTCAATTAGCAGAAAGTTTATACAATTCCCGGTATATTTACATTTCAGTGTATGCTATATAATAAACACTACATTAGATTCGTAACAGAAGCTGCATAACACCACGTCTGATTCGTCACTTACTGTACGTCTTGAACTTCTTAATGAATTAATAAAGCTCTATATATTTTTACTTACTTTTTTTGGAAAGGTACCACTACCACTAAATGAACGTTTTACACCTGGTGAAGTATATGGAACCGATGACTGCTGCTGCTTTGGTAGAAAATTGTTATAACCGTAATAGTTAAAAGGATAGATATCTGTGCTAAGATACTGCTGCTGATTTAGATGATGATAATCTTGATGATATCCCATATTACTACAACCGCTGATCTTACTAGCACTATTTTTGATATCATTGCCAACACTAATTGGATAGTAAATTCGCTGCTGCTGCGGTTGTGTTAATGATGGTGCTAGTTCTGATGGAGAATTACTCGGTTTTATCCAATTTCGATAAGCATTGCTACCTACACTGCCTCCACTCACACCACTGTAATAGTTTTGACCATCCATTACCAGTGTCACAAATTCTGAGTTCTAAACATCAATATAAATTTATTTCTGAAAGTAAATATCAGTACAGCAGAATTACCGATTCCATCAACGATAGACAAGATAACAGGATGATGAGTGTGATATGCTTACGCTCAATAGCATGGAAACATCAGTATATTGAAGCATTGAAATACACACACCAAACTAGAAATACCGCCAGTGTCAAGCAGAAAGTTAAGCTTGACCTAGATTCCTCACTCTCACTTTCCACCGTGACTCATACTTCTTCAATCAAGCAGTAAATCGATCACTGACCCTGGTTCAATTTTTCACAGCGATAAACTACGGCTTGTATTAGTATGTAAGTGCTATGTAAGTATGCACGCGAAAATTTGTTTTCGAATCATTTTTAGTCCCTACAGTGCAAAGGTAAAATAGAACTGATAGACAAGAGAGAAACATGAAAGCCTTCCCGCCTCCCCGTCTTCGACCAACCTTGTTAAACGATAACGCATATATAACTACCCATTGATTGATTGTTACGAGCACGGTTTTATAGACCCAGTATGCAAAAAATTATCTCACTCACAGTACGATTCATTTTTTCCGTGAATGAAAGCGTAAAGCACGTGTTACACAGTTGAGCAATGCTATAGGAAGTCGTTATTTACTGGTATATGTTTTTCGAATAGGCTATGTTTTGCGACCAAATTTAGAAATTAATTGTAAAATATTAGTTTAAAAAATTGGTGACGCTTTTTTGCGTGTTACTTTTATATTTTATTTACAAAGAAACTACTTGTGTTTACCAGGAAAATAATATTTGTCTTAGAAATAAATGAGTGAGGTATCAAAATAGAAATATACTAGCAAACTTACCTGTTGTGTTGGATCTGAGTGATGATGCTATTAGTAAAGTTTCTTTTGAGACTTAATTATTTTGCGGAAAAAATCCCAACTACTATAGGCACAAATTTTGATTATGTTAGTGGCTCAACTAACGGTAATCATTATATATCATTTATTTGTTTGCTTTTTTAAATATTTTTCATATATATGCCATGTTTTAAGACCATAATTACAATTACCGATATAATGATTACCGTTAGTTGAGTATTATTTTTAAAAAATTTCATATAATATTTGCATAAAAATTTTGTACGTTGTGAATATTTCATGCATGGAAAGTGAAAATTATACAAAAAAATTAGCATAACAGATGACAATAAGTATTGCAGTGATAATAAATAAATAAATAATAAAGTAAACACACAGAATTTTCCTTCGTAATTAAATTATTAAATTTCTGCAAAACAAAAACATCGCCTAGCAATTTAAAATGTTCAAATTTTGTGACATCAATAATTCTAAACAAATAATTGCAATTATCAAAAGTTTGGTCCATTCTTCACTTTGTAGTCAGCGATCACTTTTCCCTTATCAGACATATTTATTAACATCGTACTTTTTCACTCTTTTGACAAAATTGTACTGTCAGTGCTACAGTACTTCTTATTAAAAAAGCAAAAGTATACGGGTACTCTTGCATTACACTGTAAACTTTTTCATGCATCGAATCATAGTGATAGTGTCCTATCAATATGATATTACTATATCTTACTCGCGATACTGTAATTCAATCTATCATTTTAACGATGTAGTATCTTTTGCGAGTTGTAATATTATTATTTGCTTTACAGACTTTATTTGAGTTCAGGTATATATCCAATTCAACAGTCCTTTCTTCAAATGGAAAGTTTAATAATTATGATATTAAAATAAACCATTTCTATCTATTATGGCGACCTCCACCTTGCTCTCGAATTGTAACATTTGCTTTTCATTACTGCGTTTTCATCACATACACTTTCACAACTCAACTTCTCCATCGATAATGTTTCACTCTCTGGTCATCACTGCGTGCTCTATTTTGGGCATGTTTTTTCTCTGTAGCATACTCTTTTTATGTGATTTGTTGGTTTTGTATGAAGTCTTTCGCAGTGTTTCATGTGATGTATAATTCTCTATTTCTCGTAAATACGCAAACTTTTTTCTGTGGATGAGAAAAGATCTTTGTAGTCTCTCTGAATATATGATCTCTATTAATTTCATTTCAATTAAGTTTGTACGAATAAAATTTTGCTATGAAAAAATTAATCCTAATTGGTATAAATTAGAGAGTTAAAAAATTGCATGGATATGTAGGATTTTCCTTGGAAATTTATTGAAATCTGACCTGAATTTGACAGTTTGTAGTCAATAAATTGGAAAGAAGAATCCAGAATCACTTAGTGATTGCTTGTGGTTGAAAGTCATGGAAAAGTCAAAAAACTTTATGATTTTAAAGAAATAAATTGTTTGATAGAATTAATTTCCCTTCTTAACGATTCCCTTCTTAACGTTTTTTTTATCAAGTTTATGTACTACTTTGTTTTGCTATTTCAGCTTATACATGTATCGCAGAGCTAGTGAATTCTTTCGCAGAAGTGCACAGGTTAGAAGTAATTTATGTGCCTTCAAATTTGTTGTCTCTCTCCATATTTTTTCGTTATCTTTTATTGTTATTATAACTTACAAAATTAATTTACATATTAATTTCGTTCTCGAAATGATTTGAATGAGATTGTGACTAGCAGTAAGCAAATGTTAATAAAGCAAAGTGAATATTATTACTTTATAGTCATTATCTTGCAGAATTTTATTTCACAAAAGTGTGTATATTTTGGAGGAACTACTTTAGCAGCTGCAGCGTCACTTGCTCTTACCGATAAGGATCTCAAGAAGCAACCTTTATGGTCTGTTATTGTTATGAAGATAATATTTAATGTTTAGGTCACTGTAATATAAGAAAAAAAATTTTGCCCCCTTAGTTTTTGTTGAAAAAATTACTGTTATGTAATTTATTCCAAGAGGGACGGAATAATCATTGTATTTTATTATATCTTTCCTTTAACAATTCAAAAATTTCAATTATTGTGCACAAATATAAAATTTGATTTTTAGAATTTGTGGACTAAACTTCTAGGTAGTTATTTATTAATTATTTTCTAGTATCTGTTGCTTCACATTATAAAACTCTGTTATTCATTACTACACAAGTTACAATGAGTTAAGCTATTATTATAAGAAATTTCTTCGATGGAAAATCCAAAATATGCTAGTATATTTGCAGTTCTGGGAAATAATTCTTATTTGCAGGTATCAGACTGCTGTACGTAAATTGTCATTTGCAATAAAATATACGAATCGGAAAGGTTTTTTGGATGATGTAATACTGCTAGAAAATCTTCGTGAAAAACTAGCACCGTATGTGGTTTCTTCCTTTTTCTAAAAAATTTCTATTAGCACTGGTTTGTTCACTCTCTTGATGTTTTGAATTTAAGTTGACTATTTTGATTCCTTCTTATAGGTACTCAGATTCAACAAATGCTGATATTTTATGGCGATACGCTAGAGTATTACTTGAAATTGGCTTATGGACATCGAGTGCTGATAAAAATCGAATGAAAACTTTTCTTGAGGTCTGTTTGATCTTTTTTATTCTCTGTATATTGCTGCAAATGGTAGAAGTAAAAAGAAATCTGGGAGTTGCTTTGATTGTTAACTTCGAAAATTATGAAAGCATTCTTTGAAGCATTTTTCACTGTTGTTGTTTGTAATTGTTTTATAAATTTCATATTTTAGGCAGAAAAAATGGCCGAAAAAGCTGTCCAGTATGAAAACCCACATGATCCGAATGCTGACATTCACAAGTGGTAAATTTTACTCAATTATTTAAAGAACTTTTTTGTAGGGATTTACTTGACTATCTCACCAGAATGAGGATCAAATTGAAAACAGTCTCACTTTTCACTGCTGTTGTCTGTAATTGTTTTATTTCATACGCTTTCTTAAAAAATTATTTGCTTTGGTATTAGAGCTAGTAATAGTTATATGTACAAGCAAATATTCTGATGTTTTTAAATTAAAGTACAGGTATGGAATAATACTCGTGAAATTGACGGATTTTCGATCGAGTAAGAAACTAGATGAAGCAAAAAAGCATCTTGAAAGAGCAATTCAATTGGATCCTAAGGACGCTAGGTCATGGGAGTATCTTGGTTTGTACTTTATTCCCATTTGTATTATTAGTCACGAATGTTTGCATTACTGATTTACGCAATTGTTTTGTGGCTTATAAATTAGTGGTAATATAAAAGAACTGATATTTCTTCAAATTTTTGGTCAGTTCAGTTGAGCTTCAAGCCGTGAGACGTGGCTTGTTAATTCAAGTGATGTAACAGCATTAAGAGGTTAAATCACGTGTTGTTCTTCTTTTTGCATCTTAATGAGAATGAAAAACAGCTTTAAATAAATTTTGGAAAACTACATTTTTTAAGGTTATTCCAATTGTTGTGGTGAGACTTACAAACAATCTTTTCATAACATATTTCACATGTACATATAAATACTTTGTTTTTGCAAATTACGAAAAAATTTGTCTATTTCCTCTAACAAATTATCACTTGCGATTGTTTTGACGTATATTTTTTCTAAAATTTGCTTAGGCTAGTGTTGTTGGATATACTCTTCTATTCTCTGGTAGTGACTGGTCTTCATGAGCAGATGCTTTTGAAATTTTAGTCACAGTTTTTTTCTGTAGCTTCATGTGTCGTGTTGACTTCTGGGTTGCTTGGTATGTTGTCGGTAATATGCTAGCTGCCTTTAATATAAATTATTTAGAAATTTTTTGTAAGATATAGCTATGAGTAGGTGAAATGTTTGGGAATGTTTTTGCAAATTTGGTTCATTGCAAAGGTCGCAGACTCAAATTTTACGTTTTTAAGTTGAAACTGGTAGTACCTTCATTGAATTACTGATGCCTCTATAAAAGTCGTTGTTAGATTTAAATTAGACAAAAAATGAATAGGATCATTACCTTTGTTGATTGCTTCGTTGATTGAACTGCTGCTTCAGTGAAATCAGAAAATTGCACATCCTCCATTGTTTTTGCTGGTGGTGGTAAATCATCTGGTTTAGCAAATCTATAAAAATTTCTTTTATCTACAATTTCTTTAAACTTTTACTCTGCTGCTTGATCATTATTTGTATAAAGCATGTTCGGGTCACGATATCACTTGCAGACACAATTTGCTATCATTATGAGATTGTTTCAAGTACTTGCCATTTTTTTATCGCTTGAATACATCAAGTATCTAAATTACTAACTTTATTTCTGGCTTTTTCAGTGATAAGGAGTCGGAACTTCTTATTTCTGCTTCATCAGTCTGAAATTGATTAATTTAATAACAGAGAGTGATGATTTCATATCGTCTACATAATTTAAATTGCTTTTTATACAAATTCATGAAATGATTGCAATTATTTTTATAATGTTTAGTACGGATGAATATTTTACCAAAGCTGTTATGTAGCAACTTTTATTTTGTGAAAAACTGCAAGAAAACATGATAACGTGCGTCATCACTTTCAGATATGATTTCACTTAATTTCTGGCATTCTTCAGAATATCAGAGCATGGTTTGCTAAAGAATCTAATGCTTTCAGTCTTTATGAACTGCATAATCTTAAATAAGTTAAATAGGAAGTATATATGGGATGATAACAAACGATTTGAGGAATGCAGTTCATTGTTCGCTCCTTCATTGTTGAAGTATTTAATTTGGTTTTCGTTTGCGATATTTGTTCACGATTTTTTCCAATTAACGGAGTTTCTTCTTTTTTATATTTGCTCAGCAGATTAATATTACTGAAATATAATCATGTTTTACTGTGCTATTGTTTACTTCGTCTAAAATATTTAAGGTCGTATTTTAATTAACTGCTGTTCTGTAATACAGAGAAAGTAATACTTATGCTTTCTTCCTTGAAACCCTCTAAAAGTACACGCATATAAATTTTAATATTCATGAAACAAACTTTGTGGATGATGTGAATGTTTCGATACCAAGGCACATTTTTTTATCCTTAAAATAATATAAACTGTTATGCACAAATACTTCTGTAAAGCTAAAAACTAAAAGCTTCTGAATTAACTTTCTATTAATCAATTCATCCAGTGAAAAATTCTAACTTCTGAAGAATATATGAGATCTAATTATGCCCTGTACATATTTCTAAATTTTTTCAAGCATTATTCGAAAGAAAATGGTGGAAAATCTTTTATTTTATTGCTTTTTCTTGACATTAAAACTAATCAAGTTGATTATCAAATTGCATGTATGGTAGCGATATTTTGGAAATTTAAAAAATTAAGTTACTCTTATTTCTTTCAAGTCATCCTTCGTTTTCTTCCTTTTTAAAACTTTTGTCTTTTCACGTTTTTGATATATCTTACACATTTTTTTGTATGTTCTGAAATTAAAATGCAGTTAAATTTCAATGGAGTAACTTACACTAATTATGAACTATCGTATTTCTAATTTTATGCATCACTAGAAACTATAATTTTTTTTAATATTATCTTAGAAAGTCATTATATGGTAATTTAGATTTCATTTCAGTTTGTATCATTACTTACGTAATTTGACATTCGAGAGTAATATCATGGTTTTGTTATGTAATTTTAAATGTCTAAAAATCAGAACAGTATTTTCGCGTGTCTGATCCTCAAATTTGTGGAGTATTATAGCTGAACGCTTTAGAAATACAAAAATTAAAGCTGTAAAAAATTTGATTCAAGAATTTTTGTACTTGAAACTGGTTTGAAATTTGCCTAGACAGGAAAAGGTCTCAGTTATTTGAGTAACCCCACCATTATTGACGACAGCTTAAAAAAATGATTGCAAGCATTGATTTTGCTTATTTATAAACTAAAAAATCTCCATTCTTCCCAAATCGTTTTTAAATTTGTCTGCTTCATATTAAAAATTAAGGGTTAAAAAAACATATTCTATACATATGAAATGAAAATAGCACTTTTTTGTCCATTTCAGTATATGGTTTTCATATTTGTTTATTTTTTCTGGAATTTTAAATATTTGTTAATGATCGTACAATTTTTACTTGAATAAGTATTTCAGGTATTGTGCAGTATATGCAAAAAGATTATAGTGACGCAGTGCAAAGCCATGAGAAGGCGGAATCGTTGCAGGTATTCATTTTTATTTGTGATATAGATAGAGTTTCTAGCATTCATTTTTAGAGAGAAGTTTTTGATCTAGAACTCCATGTTTTACATAATATTTCTTTGTTATCGGAGAATGGTTCTTCACGAGTTTTAGAACGCACATTCTCTAAAGCATTTTGTTTTTAATTTTGCGCATGTGATTCGTGAAAATTCTCGATGTTCGAAACGTGTTGTAAATTTTTAGCACTTTTTTTTTCAATTTTATATTAAAAATATTAAACAAAAGAGTTAGTGACGGAAAATAGCTTTTTCACATTTCACTTTGTTGTTTTCAGCCTGGCTTCTCCAATGAAAACATGTTTTGGCTTGGAAAGGCGGAACTTGCTTTGAGGAAGAAAAAACAAGCATGTGAAACTTTTTTGAAGGCAAAAGGTTTAAGTCCACATTACAGGAATGAATTCAAGGTTTGAAAGACTTTTTTATTTGGACCTAAGCAATTGGTGACATGTAAATTATATAGTGCGATAATGTATTTTATCAGTCAAAATCTTGCTGTTTATTGCTAGTAATGTAAAATTAGTGGTGCATGCTGTTGCAGTAGTGTGCAAAAAAAATATATGGAAACATTAAAAAATATCAAAGTATGGGGACATTTTTTTTGTTTATTCATTACATGATTATAATCAGTATAAATACAATCTAAGATAGCAGCAAGAAAATGAACGATGCAATGAGTAAATTTTGCATGGGGAAGTGATAAGTTTTGAATTTGAATAATCATTTATTATTTTTATGATCATTTTTCATTGCACTTCAGATTGGAGTTCAAACTCGCGAATTTTTGTTGAAAACTTGCCGAATGCGTCCGGAAGATATCCCAGATTCATCTCTTCCTTACTGATGCTGCTCATTTTTTTCATATTATTGTAACAGTATAGGAGTTTTTCGCTATTGATAAAATGTGAATAGTATCATTTTCTAATATTGCAATAAAGATTATAGTGAAAGAAAGTTATTTTTATATTACTGCAGACGATTTTTTTGTTTTATAGTATTGCAAGTAATTTCGTTTTGGTGCATTCTCTATTTCACATCGTCATGCGCAAATTAAAACTTTTTACATGTTCTGTTCTTGCTTGCAAATCACCTGAACACTGGTTATCTTCAACTAAGGTTAATGTAAAATATCAGTTCTATATTTTTTTTAGCAAACTACAGAACCAGATAATTAATGATGTGGAAAGTTATACATTGAATTGGAGGTGGGAGGTTATTCTTAGATCAGAGATTTAAGTAACTACATTAAGTTGAGATCTATATTTTTCTTTTTAAGATTATGGTTGCAAACGCTTTTGTAGTTTTTGCATGAAACCAACAAGGAATTTTCTAAAGCTATAAAATTGAATTCCGCACACTCCCATTAGGTTTTGAATGAACCTTTTAAAGGGTTCTGTAATGTCAGGCTTTTATCAATACGTAAGCAGGTTTTCTTTACAGATGATGGCAAAAATATGGAAGTACCCGTTGGTCAAATTATGTAGTGCAGGATTGGTAGGATATATTGGGTTTGGTGTGGTGGATTCAGTTGACTCAAGTTCTCTTTTGGATGATAATCAAAAGTGGTAATTTATTTTTCATAATAATAAAACTGAATCTCGAGTTTATCTTGTTTGTTCTATCCATCATATCATTCCTTCGGATTGATTTGTGATTTTTTCAAAATTAGGAGAGAATACCGGTCAGATTTTTACGAATATTATTTTAAATTTGCGGAAGTAATTGGTATTAGACACTACATTGAAGAGGATTATCGAGAGAATATTCCAAGTGGTTCTTATTTAAGGTGATCCTTTTTTTCATTGACTAAGTTTTTATCTTCAAGTAAATCTGACAATTTTTCAAATCTAACTTAATATATTACTTTCAACTTCATAACTGTAATTATTTTCGATATTTATTTCTTTTCAATGCTGCGATTGCTCCTAATTTTCCTCCTACCATGTGGAATGTTCGTAGTCATCTGAATTGAAATAAACATTTCGAATTTATGTATTATATTTGTCAGAATTCGGCGGGAAAACTAAATTTTTGGAGATTTATTTATGAGTTCAAGAAGCTTCTTGTATCGATATTGTAGTGAAATGTTATTATAGATGTGCTATTGATTCTCTAGAAAAAGCTCATCACATAATCAGTTTTGATAGTGATGACAGAATACGAAGAAGGGTTTTACGCAAGGTATTTTCTATTTGTATGTTTTATAAAATTAGTGCAATGTTTAGTGGAATCTTTTCAAATAAAGTAACTGGGTGAAAATATGTCATATTATATCTCGCTTATTCTTTTTTCAGTTTTCCTCGTTCAATATTTTAAAGCGAATTAAGAGTGTAATCTGTGGTTGATTGCTGTAACTACTGTTATTATGTTATGACATTCTTTTTTAGATTATTGAGTGTTGTAATTTTAGGCGCACCGTTATATGATCAAAGCGATAAATGACGAAGATGATGTAGATTTACGGGCTGAAGCTCATAAATGGTATTGATCCTTTACTATGTCTTCTAAAAATTGATTAATTTCATTAGTGTTTCAGAAGTATACAATTTCAGAAGTATACAATGAACATCTATATTTGAACTCTTTAAAATTTAAGGTATGGTATAATCATGTTGAAAAGATCCAAATACGGAAATCAAGAAAAGCGATTGCTGAAAGCAGTAAATGAATTGGAAAAGGCATTAGTTGTTGACAGCATTGATCCAAAGGTGTGGTATTATTTGGGTCAGTTCTGATCGCTCTTGTTCATTTCTACTAATTCGTACCAAAAAATTCTCCTGGAATTTACTCATTTTTCCATATTCATAAACTCAATCAAACAATTATTTGTTTCATTGAGATGCAAAATCTACATTTTAATGAAAATAAAATGAAATTTGCCTAAATATTTGGACAGATAGTTAAAGTTGTGAGTTTAAAATGTTCAAATCTTAATATTATCTCAGTTTAAAGTGTTTATTTTGCAAGATAATTATAATTTCAACAGTAATTACGCAGTTAACATCAATTTTTTTGTTCTGGTCAAGATTTTTAAGGCTTACCAGAAGATTAAAATAAACCGCAATATTTAATTTTGGTCAGCCGTTTATAGGTATTGCCAAAAATAAGCTTGGGGAGCATCAGCAAGCCGTGGACTGCCATTTGCGATCACGAAAATTAAAAGTAATTGGATATATATCAAACACTGCTTAACTGTTTTGCTCGTATCATAAAATTCTTTTAGAAATTTTAGTGGTACCTAGAAATCAAGTATTCGTTAAATGTGTTGTTCGTAACATTTACGAAAGATTGATTACAAGAACATACGACAAATTCTATAACTGTATAATATAAAAGTAGCATTTGAGACTCTTTCTATCAACAAAGATTGTCTGTATCCAAATTCTTTTGCTTAAGGTTTCTTTAATGAATGCGATGAGCACTTCACTGCTGCGCTAAATTATTCATAGGAGTTTCTCAAGCTTAAAAAGAGTAGTTTGTAAGAGAAGGTTCAAAGTATTACTTTGAATCAGTGTATAGGGATATTTTGAAATTCGGATCATAAATGCTTGCTTTTTATCTTGGTTTTAGTTGTTTTCTTCAAATAACAATCTTAAGCATGATATAATCGATAGGAGTAATTTTGAGGAAGACGAATGCCCTCAGAACGATTATCATCTTGGACTAGCTCAGAAGAAACTCGAATCTCCAGATTCTCGCAAAGAATCGTGTAATGCTTTCCAGAAAGCGTTAACGAAGCACTGCAATTCAGTTGCTGACATTACGGTGTTTATTTAACTTTTGGTCAATTGACCGTTTCATTTAAAATTCCTCCTTTTTATTTATTTTTTTCATGTATTTCAATAACATTGTTCCTTTTTCTTTTGGCCACTTTCTGATATTTATATTTTTCGATTTTAAGCTCTCTGCTTTCATTACTTGATAGAAAATAAGGTTGATATTATTGGCAAAAAACATGATTTTTCAGTGCATCATTAAAGAAGTATGAAAGTATTTTCAGTTGGAGATGTGGTGTTGATTTGGCATTGCCTTATTTTCATATATAATTGTTGTAATTCAGCTATCAGAGCAAAATCTTATTGTGTAAGAATTGTAAAAACTTGAATTGGTTCAGGTGATAGATTTCAGGTACGACGAGGTGCGATCATGGAATTAAGTAGATGTAAAGAGGTCTTTTGACTCGTTTGAATTTCTCCAAGTTGATAGAAAACTTGATTCCAGAGAAAGCAGCGTAAGATGGTTCTATTTGTAGGAAGAGCTCTTGATCATTTTGTAAACCGTTCAATGATTTTAGTTGTTCTAAGTTGTACTGTGCTGCATTCATTATTGTAATGAAATTTGAGATTACAGTGTTGGAAAATTCTACGATTAACTTTCTGATGTACTTTTTTAAAATTTTCCTAGTGTCTTTAAAAGCATCTTAGAACTTCATTTTCCACGATATATCCAGTTTAAATTTACAACTCATATCTGCTCGCAATGTAATAAATTAGCATGTGGTGATTTCTTTGTTAGTATAGAAATTTTATGTGCATCGCTGCAATTAAGTGACTTAATAGGAGTAAAAGAATAAAGATTTTACACGTTTTTAGTACCATCTTTAACACTCCGTAAGCACAGTTTATCACATTTAAAAGCCAAGGATTTAATGATATGCAAAGTTATACTTCTTGAACAGCAAGAAAACGCAAAAAGACCATTAAGTAAGTATCCATATTTCAGTGCAGAAATATGGATACTTACTTAATGGTCTTTTTGTATATTTCAATACAGAAATATGGATACTTATTGGCAATCATAGAAGCTAAATTCTCGCTTTGTATGTTTCCTTGTAATGTTCTTAGTAATGTGTGGATATTTTAATGTAGGCATTAATATTACTACTGATTTGGTTACGAGTCTATCCTTGGTTCTTCATGATTCATCAGTGTTGGAAGATACGAAAAAAACGCTGAAGAAATTGAAAAACCGTGCAGGATTTCTGTTTCATTGCTTTTCCGCAGAAAGAACCAATGTATGAAAAGTAAAAAGAAATTTTAGGACAAATCTCTATTTGGGTTCTTATTGATCATATTTTTGATTGTTACTTTGATCTCTGTTATCTAAAGTCGAGATCAGTGTAGCATTTGTACCATTCCATTCTATCTTGCACATCACTCAAATCTCTTAAATGACTGAAGATAACACTAGCCAAGAGTCTTTTTTTATTTTGCAGTCTTGAAGTTGACCAGAAACTGATGACATCTTAGTACATCATGTAATAGATTCAGAAGTCTATAGCATTCACCACATGTATAATCTTCATGTATTTGCAAATTCTTCATGCATCAATATATTCAAAGATTTTTTTTTCATTCATGTGCAGATTATTCATAAATTTAAGTAGATAGCCAAGAATTTAAGTGCATAGCCATACATTGTACAATTGTGAAGCATAAAAATTATCAGATGTATTAGTGTACTAGTACTTATTTCTGATTCAATATCACGTACAATATCATTGTGAAGTGAGGTTGGTGCATTGAAATAACTGAGCATAACACTGGGTTAGAATTGCTGTTAATCGTTTGCTGTAGGTAAGATGAACTTCGCAGATATGACTAGCATTATAATTTAAATATTCCAAAATTTGCATAATTCTTTCATTTTTTTCTCTGGCAATTTGTCTTGGATATATAACAAGCTTAGAACAAGTTATAAAACTACTG